AATTATACTTTTTTAATTCTATCCGAATACGTATATATATGAAATAATTTAATTTTATTTTATGAAAATTAATCGAAAATTTGTTGATTCGACGATTAATAAACGAATGAACGTATTTTTGTTATAATTTTACTGTCGGTTTCTAGGTTCCTTTTTTTTTTGTTCATTGATAAGCAGGAAGGATCTCATCGAAGATATCCTTTCGCGTTTTCACTTGCAGGAAACATTTAGTTTCCTTTCGTTATTACTTCGTCCATTCTTTCGGTCATCTAACAGTACCGCCTTTTATTTTTTTCTTCTCCTTTTTTTTTTCGGCAGGAAATTACAGAATTGAATTGCCTCCCGGAAACGCTTGTTTTCTTTTCTTTTTCTTGTTTTCTTTTTTTTTATGTTTTGCAGGAAAAAAAAGCATACCATTACGACAAATAATTCTAAGCTTTTAACATAACAGTTAGTTCATGAAACGTAATGTTTTTGAAACAAAAAGAAAATAAATTAACGTAAATGTTTGTCTTTTGAATTAATATACGAGCAGTCAATGATAAAATTCGATCATTGAAATTTAACTTAATTGTTAACTTTTAGAAATAAATCTTTTTTTGTTTATTTGAATATTGATGATTATTTTCAGGTCGAACGAATTGAATGTTCTATCTTGGGAAAACAAAAAACGATTATAGTTACGATATATAATTAAAGTTAATCGAAAAGTTAAAAGTTAAATGTAAGAAAAAGAAAACAAAAAGAAAACTAGTCGTTAATCTCGTACAACAAACAATTAGTGTAGTTTTAATAGGAATTCCGGATAGACAATGTATGGTTATCAAATAAAAAAAAAATACAAGTGCGTATAATTGCTTATGGTCGTTTCAAGAATGTAGAACGTTACGGCGAATAATCGGTGTCGGTAATAAATTAACATTAGTTAAGAGATTCGAAAATTAATTGATTATAAATATAAAGATCGAGAGAGAGATGGGGGATAAAACTTAATTATTATATTTACTCCGTGTGTTTGTATTATTTTTTGTTGATTTAAAACATTTCAAAAATTATAACTATTGATGTAATAAGAAAACAAAAAAAAAATCTATACGTATTATATATTATTTTATTCTAGAAATTTATGAATTGGCCTATAAAACGACGATACGAAAGTTCTCGTTAAAACGATACTAAACGATAATAGAGAAAAAAGAAAAAAGTATAATAATTCGACCGAGTTATACATACGCTCACCGAGCACAAGTATTTTTTACTAAAATACATATTATTATTATTATTATTGTCATTTTTTAAGAATAAAAAATACCCACGTAGTCCTATTTTCTAAACAATTTAATATCCATTCGTATATATATGAAAATAAATTTCAAATACCGTTCATAAGTATCACATTTTCTTTCATAAATGAGAAACGTAAAATAAAAATGGGTTGACAGTGAAATTAATCGAAACAAAATATGGATTTGATTTTTATTGTGTCCGATTGTTTCTATATAGTGAAAAAAGTTTTGCTAATTTATTTTTAAACGTTGTTACATTTAAACAAAACAAAACAAAACAAAAGAAAAGAAAAATAAAAAGGAAAAGAAGGATAGATGATAAATCGAGTTAAACGTAGAATTGCCGTATTCTTCCGGAAAGTTTTAAGGCTTCGTTTGGTAAGAAGGTCGGAGGGATACTTATTTACGGGGCTGTACTAGAGATCGATCTGCTTCAAGGGGTTTTCCTCCCGTAGACGGGCGAGGCGTTAAACAGCGCGTGGATCGTGTACAACGATTCGTAAAAAGGTATCACGTTTGTGTTAGTGTAATTTAGTTGGTGTGTTGTACGGGTAGGAGAGAAAAGAAAATTTACATTCAACTCTTGGTTATATATAAGACCTAGACTGTTCAAGATCTCGTAGATTAGTTCACGTTATCGAGAACGAAGGAACGTTTGTTCGAATACACAAACGGATTTATTCTATAATAAAAAAAGGAAGTATTTGTATAATAATAATAATAAATATAAATTAAAAGAGTTCGCGCACGATATTCGATCGCGATTTTTTGTTGTTGTTTGAAGTGTATTATTAAGAGGAAAAAAAAAGAACCAAATCAAAAATGAAGAAAAATCGTTACAACGATTTTATTATTATTTTCGTAATTTATCTCGTTGGTATTTGTCATCTCGTTAATGGGAAAAGCGAATACGCCAAATTATTCGAAAAGTGTACCAATGAGAAAAATACTTTCGATTGTTTGAAAAGGAGAGCATTGGATATACTCGACACTGCGATTGACGATGATTCCGTTTACGTTTTAAATGATTTCGTTTCGATAGAAAGAGATCCATCGTCTACGGCTAGAAGTAGCAGAGGATTAAACACAGTTTTTAATAATGGTACTCTAGATGAACAATTGGATAATAAATTTCACGAATATTTGTCGTCGAGGAGTTTGCGTTTGACGATACCTGGAAACACCTTTGAAGGTATTCACGATAATTTTGTTTATTTGTCTTTTTTTTTCATAATGATTAATATCGTAAACGTAATTGTTTTTTTTTCTTTTGAATGAATTGATTTTCTAGTGAAAATAATTTTTCTTCTCTATTTTTTTTTTCGTTTATACAGGTAGAAGAAGGAAAGGTAATAGAAATGGTGGATTGATGATGATGGGTTTAGCTATGGCAGGTAAGACGATTGATTAGATTAATTCGTTTTTTGTTTGATTATTAATACATTTTCACATGGATTATTAATTGATGAAAAATTGCAAATGATTATTTTTTTCTTTTATTTGTAGGAGTGTTGGCACAACTGGCATACGGAAAAATTGCGTTTCTTGCCGGTACCGCATTGTTGACTGCTAAAATAGCGTTGGTTTTGAGCGCGATAATTGGCTTGAAAAAATTAGTATCTAGCGGGGGAGGAGGGCACGAGGTGATATACGCAACGGCCTCGGAACATCATGGTGGTTATGGTGGTGGTTACGGTGGCGGTTGGCAACGAGCTATGGAAGGAATTCCACCAACTTGATCATTTTCAACACGATCAATTTGTTATTAAACATTTTCTGATTTATTTTTTTATACGCTAACAACAAAATCCGTTCGTTCGTTCGTTCGTTCGTTCGTTCTTTCTTATTCAAATAATTATAATTAACAATATGTTCTCGTGCATTTATTTTTTTACAATATTTTTAATTATTTATACGAATTTAACCTGTAAATACTTGGTAGTGATTAGTGCAAATTTTATTAAGTATTTAATTATTTATTTATTTATTTATTTATTTATTTATTTACCTATTCATTTGTAACATGTGTTTATGATTTAATTAACCGATACCTCATTTAAAAATGTTATATATTAAGCTTTTCGAACGCAGTAAAATAAACTGAAAGAGAAATCGTATGTGTTTGTAATTTTCTTGATGAACCATAATTTTTTCTTTTCTTTTTGAAAGAAAGAAAATTGTTATTAATATTTTTATTAATTGCATGTCTATATTATAAAACATATTTTTGGCTTTTATTATTGTATATTTAAATATTATTTATTTGTGTGTGATTGTGGATAAAAATAAATATGCAATTAATTTTTTGTTTATAAATCCACAATGAAAAATATGTTCTACGTGTATTATTTCTTTTATCAACAATTTTTCCGCTCTTTAATTTCTTATCTTTGTTATATTTTTCTCCCGAGGAAGTATAAAAAGAATATACGCTGTTACACTGTAAAGCACATATTTAATTAAGATAATAACAGTTTAATTAATGTAATTAGTAATCTGATACTTAGAATAATTATACAATCGATAAAAATCTGAATTTAGATATGTCATTTAATAAACGATTCTAATCAAATTGTATATCATTTGTTTTAATTATACCACTGAATTTTTTTTCTCAATAAATAAATAAATAAATAAATGTTTGAATATAATATCAATATTTAATCAATTATACTTATTTTATTATTAGATCAATATCTTATGATAAATAATAGAACATAAATTGATCGAATATTTACACATTATATTTTGTTAATAATAAATAATATATTTGTACTTTCTGTTGTATATTTATATTCAATTAAAATTTAATGCAATATAAATTAAATGTAAACGATGGATAAATATAATCTATCTCATAGATATTGGTTTTTTAATTCTATATTTATAATTAATTATTATACTTTAATGGTGGGTAGTATGAATATTGCACGCATTATAGAGATACAAATATTATATTGAATTTATTCGGAAAGTAATTTCATTTCGTTAATTGCATTAAACTGATACCAAATCTTAACCTAAATCTGAAAATCATTTGACGTTCTATCAACAGAAACTTCAAACGTGATTTAAAACTTTCTCGTATTTCTATTAATCAAATAGTTTATTTGTTCTTAACATCGTCAATGTTGTTAGATAAACTTTAAGTGTCAAAATGACATTTACAAATTTCAATTTTCACAAATTTTTCACGTTCGAAGATTAACAAAATAAAAAAAAGCACCTGATGAATGTTAATAGTCGCAAAAACAATGCGAGAAGAAAAAATAACTGTATTGATTACAATTTATTTATTATATATTTATTATCGAATTTATTAAATTCAAAAAAAAAAAAGCCTCGAATATTAATATTACGAAGAAAAATCTTCTCTTCTATTATTTATTTATTATTTGTAAATAAACACGAAATTACTTTCCGTAAGAATAAAATTATCGTTGAAAGACTCGTCGTCGTTTTCGATGACCGTATCCACTTTCATAACCACCATGATGATCATAATCGATACTTGAACTGTGAGTTTGTATGTAGCTATGATGAGGATGTTTAACTATTTCGTAAGACGTTTTGTCGCTGTGTTCTGTAATAGAAATGAAATTCATAATAAATAAAATATAAAATGTGTAAACATTAATATACGTTTTATAACACAATATATTAAATATATCATATTATTATAATTATTATACAAAAAACTTACCGGATCCTTTTTTCAAAGCAATAGCAGTTGCAACTGCCAATGCAACTTTAGCAACGATTAATGCTTTAGCAGCAATAACAGCTACAGCATGTAAAGTTATGTAAAGTATCGTAGCTTTGGCTGCACCGATCATGTACAATAATATTCTGCCATAACCTTTGTTGTTCTTCTTTTTTCGTCCTTTACGGAAACATTACGTAAAACATAACAAAACAAAACAACAATATAAAAAAAAAAAAAGATAAAATAAACAACATTAACTCTCGATTAGGATCAAATCTCTAATTTTTCTCGCGTATCTCGATTTATATTTAACATTCGATAATATCTTTGTTAACAACAAAACAAACAAATAAATTAACTACTTATACGAATAATAAAATTCAATTATAATAATATAATTAAACATATATATTATCTTTGTTAACAAAAAAACAAACAAATAAATTAACTACTTATACGAATAATAAAATTCAATTATAATAATATAATTAAACATATATATTATCTTTGTTAACAACAAAACAAACAAATAAATTAACTACTTATACGAATAATAAAATTCAATTATAATAATATAATTAAACATATATATTATCTTTGTTAACAAGAAAACAAACAAACAAATTAACTACTTATACGAATAATAAAATTCAATTATAATAATATAATTAAACATATATATATACGAAAAACGAATAACAAATTTAAATAACATAAATAAATCAATCGATTTTTGGAATATTCGAAAAGTGTCTCATAATTCTGACGTTTGTACCTACGTATTATTTAACAGAAACAAAATGTTTCACCTTCGTCCACTTCGTTTATTTCGTCCCCGTCGAGAAATCTTGTGTCGTTATCCATACTATGCACTTTCTTCATTTCCCGATCGTTGCAAATCTTAACACCGATTTGTTCGTCGTATTTCAACGTTTTATTGCATTCGACAATAACATCCTTGATATGTTTTCGATCGATATAATCGGTACGACATTCGACGATTAGTGTACCAAACGTTAGCAGGTAAAGAGCAATGAAGACTTGCAGTAGCATGTTTGAACAGAACTGAACGTTACCGTGCAAAGTCATTTTTATAGAGGAACTCAAATGCAATTAGTCTTGACCGGTAATACACGCTCGTGTTACGCCATACAGAGCGTGAATGCATCCTATGGGTAAAAAATGCATCTCGCACGTAATATTATTCATTTTGATTGCTCAGAATGGTTTATAACATTATATACTTCCGTATGTTGTTTTGCTATTTTTGCTGTTTTTACTGTTTTTTTTTTTTTTTTTTAATATTTTTCCCTCAACGTTATCGAATCGTGATAAGAATTAATATCAGTTAAATGATATAATCTAGGTTATGCATATTTTATTGTTTATATAATAGATTTACTGTTTAAATAAACGTTCGATTGCAAATATATATTTTTTGTTTGTTTGAGTATATGAATAAAAGTAAATTAATTATAGATAGTATTTTGGGAATGATAGAGTAAATTGTTAAATATATTATGTTCGTTTATGTTAACGAAAGATCATATCGCATTTACCGGATTCGTAAACGGATGCGATAAATTAATTTACGCGTGCTCGGTTGTTGTATTTTAAAAAAAAAAAAAAAGAAAATAATTGATTATTCGAATAAACGAAAGATTATCTGCTCGCTTTCTAATCATTTGTTTATTAATTCAATGCAAGTATGTAAATATTGTTATACTCTCTTTTATATTCTTTATTTATTTTTCTTTTTCAGCACCAATTCATTCTCGGATCTTTACTTTCTACACGAATTCGCATTAAAACTCGATTTATTTCTACCGGTGTATCAGATTTTTCTTTTTCTTCATATTATTATTATTATTATTATTATTATTATTATTATCATCTTAAAATAATGACAAATTTTTTCTTTCTTTTTGTTTTCAAATAAAAACAAAAAACAAATTCGAAAAAAAGAATAAATCTAAAGATTAATACAAAGAGGAAGTAATTTGATTATAAATCTCAAATCGGGATTTCGTATTCGTTAACAGGTGCGACAGGTGCTCTTGACAAAGACGAATCAAGAAATACGCGCAAACAGATTGAATACGAATACAGATGACTTATTCGAAATACCGAAACAACAATCATGACTTCAGATTTAAACCTTTTTCTTGGTTCTTTTTTTTTATCTCTCTCTCTCTCTTTCTTTATTTTTCTCGACAACCCATAGACAACTTCCGGTCTAACTTAGGCTACGTATGGACATATACACACACACACATATACGGTGGAAAGTAGAGAAGAAGGACTAAAAAAGCAAATATTCTTCTTCGACGAGCGTTTTGTGTGCCACTGGGCCGAGCATGTCCTCGACTCGTTTCTATCTTCGTAAAGCAAGGGGTTACATAGTTTCAAAAGATTTTAACTTCTTATTTTCTCTAGCAAGAATGCCATTATTGCAACTGTCATCAGATGTTTAACACGAATACTTTCAAATTCTTATTCTTATTGAATTAAACCGTACGATTTACGATTTAATTCACAGTCAGTTTAAATGATTCGCCGTACTTTTATTTAAATGTATTATCTTACGTTGAAAATCTGTTTTTTTTCTTCTGTTTTTTTTATGTAAATAAATATAACGGTTAAATAATAATAATTAGAGCATCGTTAATAATGATTACAAAATTACGATGATAATAATTTTTCTATAAAAATATCATTGTATTTAAACTACTCTCTTGATTATAAATATTGTAATAGTCAATTTTCCGGGTCGTGTAGCGATTACCGGTGAAAAAACGGTTAAACTCTTCCATTATTTATTACGGTGTTATTTAGAAATTACGTATATATAAACCGTAGTGTACGTGTGTCGGTAACGGTATATTGTGTAACTACGTTCACTTAAATCTAAACTATTGTATGCATTTATGTCTATCCATCTATCTATCTATCTATCTATCTATCTGCATTTTACATAAATGAAATTACATTCCACCAAAAGGATTTAATAAGAAATAATAATAGAATGGAATTTTCTCGTAAGTGTGAATGATTTTGAGAAAGTGGGATTTAAATTCTGAATGTTTTCGCGAACCAGAGCGAATTTCTCTCGATGACCAATGTGTTAGAAAATATTATATATAAGTATATATGTGCGTTTTTAACGTGAATTTGCACGTGCTGCGAACACAATTGTCGAAGCAGAAAATCAATGACCCGATTTATTAACGCTGAGCAACAAAAACAACAAAAAAATCTCTACCTTATATGCGAAATATCACCTGCGAAAAAAATCACTCGATTTACAATTCTATTATTCTCATTTCAAATCGAAATTGTTCTTTCTCGAACCTAATCAATCAATTACGCAACGTTTAAAATTTATACGTACGTAAATATTGAAAATAAATTCGTAAATGATTATTTCAAAAAAAAAAAAAAAAAAAAARAAAAATTAAGTTATGAATATTTTTTCGTTTTTTTTTTGTTTTCAAATAATACAAAACACTTGTTCCAAATTTTTGTAATACGAGAGAAAATATTTTCGATGAGATTACGTTGAAAACAAAAAATGGATTTAACGATTCAGATTAATTCGAGAAAGTGTGCAGTTGACTGCATTAATATCCGATGAGGAATTTGTCACGAGAATTTTATTCGTAAGATTTGTTATTATTCTTGTTAAAAAAAAGAAGAATTCGTGAGAATTTAGAACTGTCTGTATAGAATGTGGAACGAGAAATGCGTTAATAATGTTTAACTGTCATCCGTGGTAACGTACCAAGCCGATTACATGAGATATAATCGACGAAGTAGGTAAGTGCATCGAGGATGCATCTAGTTACATCGTGCGAGATGCGCTAACCTCGATTGACCGTGTCGACTACATTGCACGTGTACGGAATATGGAATACAGTACATTGCGTTTGCACTTCGTAGATCATTATTTGTTCAATTTAAACTGTCCAAGAATTTTGTGTGAACTCTAATGAGAAAATAATGAATTAAAATAAAATTTATTAATCGTCAATATATATTATCATTTAATTGATGTTATTTAATATTGTTTTAAAAGAAACATTTAATTATTAATGATTAACGATATAATTTCTGAACACAGATATCTGGATTTCTAAGAAAAAATTGTTACTGTTCTATTATTGATAGATTAAAATCGGTAGAATACTATTTAAAATTATATTTCTAGGAAAGATTGATGTGTTGTGTATTATTGATTAAAATTGATTAACGATTAGATACAAATTTTCGAACAAAAATCTGTATTTCTTAGAAAGATTGCTTGTTCTATGATATTATTGATTAAAATTGTTATAGAATTATTTCAAAATTGATTAACGATTTGAGATCAAATTTCTGAACGATAAGTCAGTGTTTCTAGGAAAAAGATTGCTCTTGTATTATTAATTAAAATCAGTAGATCATTATTTAAAATTGTCAATAAAGAGAGTATCGATTCTCTAATACTAAGAGAATGAAGAATTCAACGATCCGAATAAGTAAAGTAGATCGTGTGGATGGAGTTAAATCCACCCCCGCTCTCGATAGAAAACTGAGAGGATAGGAGGGAGGAAGGTCTTCGTCGTGTTACTCGAATCGGGAGGTCAGTTAGGTTACTGTGCCAACCACGTATACCGATAAAGAATTACAAAGTCATCGTAGTAGTAGTAGTAGTAGTAGTAGTAGTATATCCCTTCTCTTTGCATCTCGATTCTGTCTACTTGAATTCTCTTTCTCTCTCTCTCTCTTTCTAAAATGTTTTCGATTGGTCTATTTTATAATGCCTGTGTATGGTTTTTAACGAATCGGTAGAAGAAAGAAGAGAAATTGAATGAAACTTTATGGAAGAAAAAAAAGATGCAACGTATCAACGGTTTCCTCTTCTCGAGTGGGTCTCTGTGTCAAGCAGGGTCACATGTAACTATTTATTCCCCTCTCTTTCTCTTTCTTTCTCTCTCTCTCTTTCTCGTAGCCTTGAGGATGTTCCTCAGCACGCTATTCGCGCGTTTGAGAATAATGGTAAAACGGTTTGGTTGGAAGAGGATAGCGAAAAAAAGACGCATTAAGGAAGGAAGCATAGAGATGCGATCTGTGTGCTATGATGTTGGCAAGATCTCGTGTGGGAGCTAGCTCTCACCCCCTTTTTCTGGAGGATGCCTACCATCTGGTTGGTATATATCGACCCGGACCACTCGTCTTGTCGACAGTTGAGGTAATGTCGATTCAGGTAATGTCGGTACGTGGATAACTGACTTATACCTTGTCGTTATTTTCTGTTATTAATAAGAATATTTGATAAATTATAATATTCGGTAAATATATTCGTGATTTTTCTACGAGTCTAAAAAAAGGTGACGAGATTACTTTTTGATACAAATTACGAGAGGATTGTTCTCGAGGAATCAAAGTTACACAGACAGAAAGAGAGAGAGAGAGAGAGAGAGAGAGAGAAAGTACGAGCGAAATGGATTTGTTCAAGTGGACACTTGGAATTTTGGCATTGAGTGGTATGATCATCGCCAACCTGGCCAACGAGGAGTTCAGTTTATTCGACAATGGATACCGTGCTCTTTATCGAGTTTACGAGGAATGTCAACAGCGTAACGTTGCCGTATCCCAGTGTTTAAAGAAGAAGGCTATATTTTTCTTCGACAGATTAGGTCGTATCGATACGTTACCGATCGGTGAGAATTTGGAATTGATCAAGGTACCACCAACCGTTGACGGGAAAAACGAAACTTCGGGGAAAAGTTTGACGATAGATTTGGATAACCTTGGTCGTAACAATGGTGGCACGTCAAAGGAAGAATTCTTAAATGATATTTTATTTGATAAAATAGCCAATCTGTTGAACGGATACAACATACAAATACATTTACCAAAGACCAATTCTGTCGAATTGAAACGTAGCATAGAGGAGGGACGTGGAAAGATGAAGAAAATGATGGGTATGATGATGATGGGTATGGCCATGAAAATGGCTGCAATGGTACCGATCGCCATGGGCGTTCTATTCCTTCTGGCTGGGAAAGCACTGATCATCAGCAAAATAGCACTTGTACTGTCCTTGATAATTGGCTTGAAAAAATTACTAAGCCAAAAGCAAAGTCACGATTCTCATGGTGGTTGGCAACAAAGTGGCGGTGGATGGGACAGGAGCTTGAAAGATGTTACTGCAGTCACGGAAGCTGACAGACAATACGCTCACAATCTGGCGTATAAAAGTTCTAGAATACAACAACAACAACAACAACAACAATAACAATGATTATGATGATGATGATGATGATAATGATCTACCTGAGAGAGAATGCGTGGACAAACGAGGAAGAGGCTGACGCGAGAATTATTTTAGAAAATTATCTTCTACTTGGAATTTTTTTACTTCGTTCATACGACTCTTCGTATGAGATGCCTTTTTGTTTTATTTTTTTTTAGGTAAAGACAAGATCTACTACGACGAAAAAAATGAGCCTAACTCAAGAGACTGAATCCTGTTGATTATGATCTCGTGATTATCTTACCTTCGTATTCGTTAATTTTCTCGAAATGACTTTAATTTGAATTTTTTTGTTCTCGTATATCCTAAATACTTTTTGATGACGAGTAAGAGCATCGTAAGATGAATTGCCGTTCGGAATTACGTTAACAGTATTTTCGCGTTAATCTACAGAATATAAAAGAAATGTTTTAAGCAAGCGTGATAATACTCATCGATCCAACGAAATGTCGGGTTGGATATAACAGAGTACTTATTTCGCGCACGCTAGATCATAACGGGATTTATTCGAGTACGTTTAAGAATTTTTCTACGCTACGTTAAACCTTCGAATTAACGTAATCGTCGAATTTTCGTTAATAACGTATCATAAGAGAATGTTGAATTATGAAATAATCTTATCTCGTAAGAATCTTATATTTATTATTTATATTATTCTATTATTTTATATATTATATATTATATTTATTATATATATCTATTTATATGTGAATTTTACGTTTTACTGAATGTACGATAAAGAATCAAAAGTGTTTTTCTTATTTGTTATTTTTTTTAAGCTGCAACTCGTTAATTTAAATTATCATCTTATAAGTCTGGTATAGTCTAATAATATCGAAATAATTTCATAATTTTTATTTTTGTAACTATTATATATAATGAAATAATAAAACATAATACCATTAATAATGAGTCATATTTAATTAACCATATTTTTTTCCAATATTGCACGTTATTAAATTTATAAGTTTCTTGATTAAACGTAACTCAATCGTATTTTTTAAATATTTTTCTAGCAAAAGCATTTTAACAACGATTAAATCAATCGAAAGTTTTACTTTCAAAAACTATTGTTAATCGAATTAATTGTTAATATTCACTATAAGTAATATGAAAAGTTATTGAATTATCAATAGAATACGAGTAGTCATATATCACCCGTTTTGATTGAACGAAATTACGTAATCCTCTTGATTTTTTCTTTTTGTCCTTTTTCATTCGACGATTACAGGACATTATTGAACGTATTTCGATGATTTTTGTCATCGTCTTCCACTTTAATGTGTTTTCAGACTTAGAACGGCAGCGAAAAGGGCGAAGAAGAATCCAGCTAATAGAGCTTTACCGATTAATAAGATAAAACCACCTAAAAGCGTTGGTATCAGTGCCATGAATTTCATTTTATATGCCAACAACAGTGCCATCAATGCTCGATTTCTTCTACGACGTTTTTTCCTTTTCGGTCGACCTATAAAATCATTTCAAACGTTCACAAAGATAATATATACACGGATACATTATTATATTTAATTTTTGTTCTTATTTAAGTTTGACAAAACGGTCAAAAAAGAAAAAGAAAGAAACAAAAAACACTTCAAGATAAAATAATGAAAATTACCTCTGAACAGGTCGTTAGTTTTTTCTTTAACTGTATTCGCGTTAACGTTCAACTTATGATCCTTTTTCAAATGTTCCTTCCTGTTCTGGTGTAAACGATTTAAAAATAAAGCACCGTGAGTGACAATTTTATTATTTTCTTTAATAATTTTCCCAGCATCCGGGACACGCAATCTCGAACGTTCCTCTATCCGTTCGTTTGTTTTTTCATCCGACGATTCGATCACTTCGAATGTTTTTGATCCTCGAACGATATGACAAAAACAACTTGTTAATAATAAAAACGTTATCAATTGATTTCCTTTCGTTCTCATCTTTTTTCTCTCTCTATCTTTTTAATACGACAGCATCATAGTTAAATCCTAAACGATCTTATTTCGTAATAATATCTCGCGAATCGTTCGATCATGTCGACAAATGAACACATTGAACGCGAATCTCGTTGTAAATTTTATACACGCGAACGAGAGATCAAATTGATTTATATTTAAATCGATGATTCAATTATATTTTGACCGGGGTTTTTTCCGTTAAAATTCACCGTGGTTTGTTTTGTTTTGTTTTTTTTTTTTCGATTAAATCAATTTTCGCGATTTATATTGCAAAATGGGTGAATCGATAGAAGACGTACGACGGGTCTAACGAACGAACGAGAACTACTAACCGATCCGTTTTCTTGACGACGAGCTAAGAAAACAGGGGGCTCAGAGGGGTTCCGGGAGCATGCCGGGCACGCTTCAGTTGCCGAGAAGATCGACAGTCCGTAAAATAAAAAAGAAAAAAAAAAGAAAAATGAGAACCCAAGGGAGGAGTGTGGAAGAAGGGGAAGGGACGTACGGGGAATATATATGCGTGCATTAACCACTATAATCATCGACAAATGTCAGAGTCTGTGTATGCATGTATGAATTCTCAACTGAATCTTTTGAATGTATTGATGAATTTATAGTATGTGTGTGTGTGTGTTGACGTACAGACACCTATGTTACACACGTTTTGTGAAAATTCTTTGAGTTAATGTATTTGTATCTCTGCCTGTGTGTGTGTGTGTGTGTGTGTGTGTGTACTAAGAAGCAATGGGTAATGATGTGTACGACCATAACTAAATTATGCTTCTTTTTATTTCTCCCTTTTTAGAATATATTCACCGTAAATTCATGGTCAAACCTTTTCCTTTACTAGGAAATTACTGATATCTGGGGGTACTATTTACGAATTGGTGCTTATAATTCGATTTACTTGAAGAGTTCACGTTCGTATGACATCGATTGTTATTATTCCACTGGTATTGTAAAATCATATACTCGGAACGTTACAACTTGGCTAACGTATTTTATATTTTATTTTTAGATTTCAGTTAGATCGATTTATCGATGTCGGTTACTTATGCAATTATATTGTAAGTATCTTCATACGTAAATATTAAAAATAAATAAAGACATTATGGGGAAGAATTTGACTTCTAGTTTGATCAAATGTTAAAACAGGTGGTTTGGATTAGGTTTAATTAGTTCAATGGTTCGATTTTCTCACGAATTTTACGTTATATAAATATATATAAAGTAAATTTTACAAAAAAGAAAAAACAATCCATTATGCAATTTCATAGTAACATTTTTAATACAATAAACGTATGTTAATTTTTGGTTCACTCAAACAATATGATTACCTTTTATTATTAAGATTCTCAATGTTCTTTATTTGAATCGGAAGAGAAATGTTGAAATTTTGTTTAATTTAAAAAGCAAATAAAATTCGTGAACAACACATGCACACGCATACGGAAACTTTTACGGAGAGAAAGAGAGAGAGAGAGAGAGAGAGAGGAAAGGAAATTCAGAATTGTTGGAGAATGATCGTCGAATTAATCGAATCTCTCGTGTATGAAGCGAGCAACCTAGATATCGGTAGTTTTATTCACGTGCCACCCTGAAGGCATTTAGATTTGTGTTTGTCAAGGAAACGCCAAGTAATTTCGCTCATCCTCGGCGTATCTAGATCCGATATAATGATTCCTTCTTCCCAGAGCTTGGGAAAATAATTTCAACGTCGAATTAAAAATAGTATAGGTAAGAAAAAAAAAAACAAGAAAAAACACATATACTTAAAACGTTAAATAGAAGAATATAACGATTCTGGATTATCGATCAACTCTCTTTTTACTTAAAAGATAATAATAATATTTCATTCGAAAGTTCGATTTTAATTCCTACGTAAGAACATAATGACAGGGTTAACGAGAAGGGTCAGCAGCCATTTTTTTGTTTCGTTTAAATCAAATTCCCGTCTACCATTATCAAGATCGATAACGGAATCGAATTTAATTCGATCGTGTTTCGTATTCGATATACCATAAACGTGTTTTCAATTTGATTATAGAACGGATTGAAATAAAACGCGTGTGCCAAAATTGTCTTACTTGATCAACGACTGTGACCAATTTTGATCAATGCAAGAATTAATCTTACCCATCCATCCAATCGTTTTATTTAATACGTCAATAGATGAGTGTTTTCAAGTTCGGAGGTGGGGGGGATAGGTATTCAAATATTTTAATGAAAACTTTAATCGATATTTCGTTCGTCAAATGATTAAAGATAGAAGAATGTAACTATCAAGAGTAAACCGAACGTTTCGTAGTCTGGAAGTTAGGATCATAAACAGGCCGCCGCTGCCGACTGATCGGCTGAAACGTTTTGTTGGTACACGGATTAACTCGAGTGTGAAACGAACTGGATCGGCTAAATTACATTTTCCCAAGATGACGTATCTTACGATGACGATGATGATGATGATGATGATGATGATGAGGACTCGTTCGCTAGCTTATTCGTTCAACACGAATCTGACTATGTTTTACTTGTCCTGGTTTAAATATTCGGGGGAAGATGTCTAGTCAAATGATTGAACAGACTGCTATTGGATGGCGGATCTTTCGTCACGCTTTGGTACCAACTTGGTGAACTCCTTCTCGAAGTCTTTTCCATGGCACCCTATATAAACTAATGCTAAGAGTGAACAGGACCATCAGTTGACATCTTATTTTCTTACGAGTTCGTACTCTTTTCAAAAATCCTGAAATAAAACAGGGAGTTTTGGGAGTTATATATTTTTGTTTGTTTGGTTTCTTTCTTTTTATTAATTGGATCATTCCAAAAAATGTTTTACATTTACGTGTTGTTAATATTTTTATCTTTACTGGTTGGCACGGAAATGGTACAAGAGACTCAAGAACGAACCGTTACGACGAAACAATTCAACGTCAATGGAATCGGAATTAATTCACGGCTAACCGATAGGATTTTAAACGTTGTCGAAAAGTTTATTCCGTATTCGAGATTATGCGATAGAACGAAGGATCTTGAAGAAGGTAAGCGATGAATTATTTCGACAATATCAAAAATATATTTTTATCCAAACAACGCGAACATTTTCATTTATGTATATAAATTTAAATATATCGAACGAAATATAAAACTAAAAAAAAAGAATAAAGAAAAAAGATAAAAAAAACCAAAACTAAAATTATCGATAAGAGTAAACGATGCGCGAACGCATATCCATCAATTTGATTATTATTTTATCGACATCGCGGAAGCGTGAAATTACCTTCGTACCCCACCTATTTATTGTTATGATGTTTATCGCGATACGATACCTTAAACCGTTCACGGTATTCGCTTTCCTGGCACAAAAAACATGTAAAAGAATAAGAAGACAAAAGAAAAAGAGATAAAACATCATAAATACTTTATACTCGAGTTGATTTAATTAAACCCCGCTCGTCACACTCGACGTGACTAACGAGGAATCATCGTTATGGTACGTTTGTTTTTAAATGACTTCTGATCTATTCTGTTTTTTTTTTTTCTTTCTATCGATATGTTGCAGCAAGGAAAAAAAAGAAACACAAATTGAACAAATACGTGGTACCACTGATAGTAGGATTTTTATTAATAAAATCTATTCTATTGCCTATCGCTTTGAAAGCACTTGCCGTATTAAGTGGCAAAGCTGTTGTACTGAGTCTGATGAGTTTGATTCTTGCTGCCATCGTAGGATTAAAAAAGGTTGCCCAAAGTTCATCAGGCAATGGTTACGACGTTGTCAATGTACCATCTACCAAATACAGACGTAAGGATGCTTACGAAGTTGTCGATGATTTCGAAGAGGAAGAACCATACAGATTTTATAAAGAATATCGTAAGAAAAAGTAAATCGTTCGTTTCATTATTATTCGTCGTAATTATATATATTTAACAAAAGTACGTGAACAACAAATGTGTCAACTCGTGGAATCATAATTTTATTCAATTTATAATAATATAACTTTTTATTCATTTCGTAGTTAGTATAGATATTAAAAAAAAAATTATGAATTTACATATAAACTTATTGTAAATAACTCGTTAGATATTTTTTATAATTAAATTAAAAAAAAAAAAACAAACTGTCTTTTATGTATAATTAGATTTTTGTTCGGTACTAAAACGTGTTAATTGCGACGAAGAAATACCCGTTGATGAAGTGCTAATGACTTGTACACACAGATTTGTCGGTATTTTAAAGCCATTCGGAGAGTAAGAAAGAAAAAAATAAATCAAAGTTACTTACATATGTTAAAAACAGTCAACCATGTTCCTATTGTTATTACTTCTATAAAAAAAAAAAACAAAAAAAAAAAACAGAAAAAAGTTTTCTACTAATTTGTTTGATATTTTTTCCTCTTATATATATATATATATAAATTACCTTTATTAATAATATTTATTATTTAATTATTTAGATTAAACGTAGTATAGAAATACCAACAACCGGATTTGGGAAGCAGCAGCAACAGCAGCAGCAGCCTATAAAAATAAAAATAAAAAGATAAGCTTAGGATATAGGACGCGCACGTAAAGTTCATTGGCCCCGTTCTTCCGTGTTCTCTGACATAAAAAAAAAAAAAAGGAAACAAATTCTTTTAACTCGTCCATTGTAAAAAAAAAAAAAAATAGATAAAAAATCCAACCCAAATATATATACGAGTTTTGTCCTACGCGTCAAATATTTCCGAATATTTCGTAACATTTAATAATATAGTAGTAAAGATCTTTCAAAGAACGAATATGAATCGAAAAAAAAAAAAAAGAAAAAAGTGTTCGCCATCTATTGTAGGACACAAAACTTTCACCATTTAGAGTACACTTTCCTTTTCTCGTTTTACGAAGCGTCACGCGTATTCGTTTTTTGTGAACAACTTTTTATTTTTTGGGATGTCTCAATGAGATCGATGAATCAGACCCCGTTCGAATTATTCTACGAAAAATCCGCCATTGCGATCTGAAATCAAACATGGATTCCAACAAACCTAACCTAGAAAAAAAGAAAAAGGAACAAATCAATCGCGCGAAATATTTCGTTTCTTGCGAGACCGGATATCGTTTAAAAAAAGAAAAAAGAAAATAAAAGGAGAGAGAAAGAGTTAATAAAAAAGAAAGACGAGGAAGAAACTCTCACGACTCATAAGCGAACTGTTAAATATTTAAAGAGGCCCACCACCACCTAGTGTCGAGTACAATGGACTTCCATTAGCAAATATGGTGTCTCTCGTTTTCGAGCTTGTTTGTTATTCGAAAAATGACCCACATGCAGCAATGCTTGCGCCACATGCAAAATTGATGCAGTAATGGAGGTTTATTAATTAATCACGTGTTTGTTTACAAATTTCTTCATCGAGTTAACTAAATGCATTCGGTTGTACTCAATTTTTTACACGGAACTAACAGGTTACTCGTATTCATGTGGTAAGATGACAAATTTGACAAACGCGCTCGTACACCATAAAAATTAAATATTTTCTATTTTTTAACGATGGTATCTTCTCGTCATTTTACAAGCTAATATTTATAATGACACGTTAAAAATCGTAAGTATCTTAAAGTACAATAATAATAAGGAAGAATAAAATTGTATATATAGTGAACTCATGGAATTTCATATGGATACCCACACGTATTATATAAGAAATCCCATCGAAGACGTAACACACATAGGTCCACGCGTTTCCCTTGGAGCATTTCTTTGGGTCAAGGTGAACGACTTGACGATGCACGTGGACGCATCTTCTAGATGCACAAGGGTTTCAAACTACCTTCCAACTAAAAGATTTCAAGGTAATAGGCAAGCTGAGAAAATTTTCTACGGAAGATTTAACAACCGCACGGTGCGGTGCGGCACGGCACTGCACTGCACGGCACGATACGCACGCACATGCATGCATGCACATCTTTTTTCTACTTATTCTTTTTTTTATTTGACCTCTCTCGAAACAGAATATTACCTATGACGAGCTGCCAGAGATGCGGTTATGCAGCTTCCACGTATAAAACTCATACAATGCGAAAGATAGTTACGAGCTAACTGTCCAATCGGCAAGAATTTATGAGACTCTCTTTGTTCCAACATATACCTTTGTCAAAATTATTACTTTGTATGAGATCGTTGTAATCATGACGATAGATAATTATTCGGAGATGATTTATATATAGATATTTCTCTTTTTTTTTCTTTTTTTTTTCTTTTTTACTTTATTTCAACCTTCATGCATTTGTATTAAATTTTAATTTATTTCTTTTCTTTATATACGCGTCATTCTTATAAGAATACTAATTATAAGATTAATCGAAAGTAATTAGAGAAAAAAACAGAAAAACAGAAAGGGGGCATCCAAAAAACAAGATCAAATGATTTGAAAATCAATGGAATCCCTAATCGAAGTGTATACAAAAAAAAAATAACGTAGCTCCCTTTAGTGACCTAAATAATAAAATACCAATAGAAGCCAACCAACGAGAGTGAGTTCTTCAACGAGGAAAGAACAACGACTAGGCGAGATAAGATCCGCCCAGATACTTTTGAGTACGACATAGGAGGTGCCGAGGCGTTTGTTTAAAAAATTATCGAGGAAAGTTTAGTCAGGGAGGTGGCATCTCGACCAACCAACAACCATCACACATTTGAATGTGTACTAATGGCTATATGACGAGTTTCAGTGAATACTTTAAAGTTATGCGTTGTCGTCATCATCGTTGTCGTTGTCTTTTACACACTTCGGCTTATTCATTGGTGGGGGAATATTGGGGGATCCTCCCTCTAGAATGCATGCCTATAAAGATCGAAGCTACTCGGAGGACCAGATCACAATCCGAAAATTTTCCGAAGGAAGATCTTCGCTCAGTACTTCAACAGTTCGACGATTCTCGTTCGGTTGGTTATATTTTGTTGGTTCATTTTCGTAATTCAATAAACGAATAAAAACAAAAAAGGGAAGGATGAAGAAATTATTGATCTTGGGATTCCTTGCCACCGCTACTATCGCAGTGCCAACATCAGAAATACTTCTCAACCGAGATCTCGACTGTTTGGAACGCGAGAATGAATTGTTCAGTTGCATTTTCGTTAAAGCTGCCACAACGTTGGACAGAGCAGCAAGGTCCAGTGATATTCAGCTTATCGATGGTGTAGTTTTTGTACGAGATAAACCCAGTAAGTTACTTTCAATTATTATTATCTTAAGTTTATTTTCCCAAGAGAGGACAGATATTTCTAATTTGTATTATTTTCGTTTGTATTTATAGTGGAACGCAGCGCGAAAAGTTTGAAGACCGAATTAGACGTGATGAATGAATTACCAAAGGATACATCAGACAGGGCACTCAAACTCGTTAGCATGATCTACGATTCTGCCGTGGCCTTCATGAAAAGTCACAGCTTGAAGCTCAGTATCCCGGAAGAATTCAATTCTCGTGCACTTAACGAAGGTACGTTTAAAATGATAACTCAAACGAAATTTACGTTTATACGGTTGAACGGGTGTACGATTCGTTTTCGATGATATAATCGTGTGATCCCTCTTTTCACGATTGCCTGCGACTAAACTGACGTCACGGATTCACGGCGTCACGACTTACGAGTACGAACGAATAAAATCCGCCTTTCACCTTCATGATATCTATACGCATCCAAGTTCTTTCAAGCCAGTTCCGGATAAACTTGTTCTCTCTCGGACACAACCACGCAACGATTCGCTTTCCTTTAACAAATTCTGACGACGATGATGATGATTAATAATAATAACTTCTTTCGGGTTAGCGCGTACTAACGAATTTCAAATGTTTTTTAACGATAATTACGACACGATGCGATTTTATTTTGTATTGTTTTTGATTTCAGCTCGTGGTAAGATAAAGAAAGTAATCTTACCTTTGATCGCAGCAGTCGGATTGAAAATATTTGCCCTGGTTCCGATTCTTTTCGGTGGTTTGGGTCTGTTAGCATTGAAGGCACTCGTCATTGGCAAAATAGCCCTAATCTTGGCGGGCATATTATTTTTCCAAAAAATGTTTGGCAGCGGTAGCGGCAGCACGGTCAGCAATATTTTCGGTAAAACACCGTCACTCGGTAACAATTGGTACGAACCAGCTACTCAAGGATGGCCTTCAGCTGCTGCAGGTGTTCAACAGCAAGGATATTACAGAAGAAGTTTCGATGATACGCCAGGAAAAATCGATGCTCATTCTCTCGCCTATTCGGCCCACGAACCAATAACAAATGCAGCCCAATAAACGACGTGTTGTTGTTCTTCTTTTTGTTTCAATGAATTTTCCATTAGAGAAAATCGTTGAGAAATTTCGCTCGAATTAGGATAATCGTGATCCATGTCTACTCATCCACCGACAACGACTGTTAGACTAATATTTATATGTGTAATATTTATAATAATAAATTTGATATGTTATATGTAAATTATTTAAAAAATTAAAAAAAAAAAAGTTCTTCAATGTAATAAATAATTTTTTTTACTCCAAATTATCTGTTTTTATTATTCGATCTAATCCACACACACGCATATATCCCAACACATATATACACGTTTTTGTCTCGTTCAAATCAAAATGAAAGTCATCGTTGTCGTACGTTTTATAAAAATTCTTTGGGTACCTCAGAAAACGCGATTTCTAGTTTGGTGAAATAATTGTCACGCATATTCGTGAATGTGTTAGTACTCGAATACGATGCATAGAAAACATTGTACGTGATTAGTTTTACTATCGGTAGGTCAAATGTGATTTTAAAAAGCAATCGATCGGACTAACTCACCTATAATTGCAACTCAATTTTCATGCAACGCTAACAGACGAGACTCATATGCGATTCCAATTGGACACGGTTATAAGTCCACGAGGTCATTTCTTCTCCCACCTGTTAAATTCTTTCTCACACCTTTTTTCCTTTTCTTTTCTTTTTCTCTTGGTATTCTATTTTCTTTTGTATTTTGCTTTTGCCTCATACCTTTACACTTTCTCTCTTTATTTTTTTACTCTTCATTAAATTTCGATTATGGAATAGAAACTTTACGAAATTTAACAATAATTTTATTATTTATATAACAATAGTTTTAATTTCAAATATATTGAAATAATTGTCAATTAAATTTTATTCTTACATACATTTTCCATTTTCACATATATTTGTTTTAAAATAAATATCAAATAAATGAATATTATATAGTATATAAATTTGTGATTGTACAAAATAAAATGTATAAGGTAAAATTTCAAATTATTTGAAAATCTATAATAAATCGATTATTCGCAAAATGCATACGATTTAAAAAGGAAAATTATATGCCGTTATTTGTGAACGCACCCTACGTCACCCGACGATCGTGCTCTGAACTTGGTTTAACACTTGCTATTTAGGGAGCACGTTAAATTAAAATTCTCGACAACGCCTTGGTTGCATGTCAGCTTGCCAAATGGTTCAAACTGGCCCCACCATACATCGATGATTGATATAAAAGAAAAAAATAGCCTTTGGGACAATCAGTCAAATTGTTAGCTTGGTACCAGTGGTATCGAAATTTCACAGATGACAATGAAGGCAAAAGTTATAATATTTTTGCAATTGTTGGCTATAGTTTTAGGGAATCCACAAAAGATCACAAATGATGACGATAACGTAGAACATTTAGAAATGAAATTAACCAAAGCTATGGACGCGTTGAACGAAAAGGATAACATCGATATTTATGGTAACATGATAACGTTGCAAAAAGTTGCAGCGGAAGAGAATTCCTCGGTGATTAAAAAAGACATCGTTGATCCATTAATGGACAGGATCGAAAGATTTTTCGCAACCAAAAAAATTCACATCAATTTTCCTAATGACGGATCATCCGCGGATTTCTTTGGACGTGCTTTAGGATCAAAGGACATTGATATCGAACTCAAAAGTCTTGCTCGTGGTGCTTCCGAAGGTAAATATTATAATAATTAACATTACAAATATCTTAATAGTAATATATCGTTTTCATTACTCTCCCTTTTTACATGTTCGAATTATTTTGTTTAAATCTTTTCTCAACGCTTAATTCACATTTCCAAAGAGATTTTATTACTAATATCATAGTTTTTGAAACCCCATAATGCATTTAATTACTAATAGGTGATGATAAGTTTAACGATAAATTTATATTTTAATTCGTTAACATATTGACTATTTCATTTATTAGCATCATTAAAGAAAAATAATATTCTTACGAGAAGAGATATAACTAAACAATCAATCTTCTAATTGTTAATTTGATTTGATCGTAAAATAAAAATGTTTTATTTCGTAGTTTCTTCGATCTTCCTAAAAAAATAAAATAAAACGTAATAACATTTGTTATACAAAATTGTTGGTAATAAGATAGAAGACATTTCCAGCCGCGAAAGATAAAAATCATGTTCGTTGTCCGGTATTCCATTCGAATTTGAGATAATTCTCGTAGCCGAGCAGAATCTTATAGCATCACGCCTTTCTAAGATTGCTCCAATGAACGATAAGTAAGCCACGAAGGTATCTACCGATTGGTCGAAAAAGTAGAACTTCCGGTAACTTCTTTTCCGATTGGTTTTAGGAAAGGTAGAAAGAGAGAGGGAGAGAGAAAGAGATACAGATCCGTTGGCCTACTTTTCGTTCGTTTCGAAATCCAAAAAAGTCCAGAACTTTTTGGGGGATGAGAGAAACTTTTATCCCCACTCTTCCTCCCCCAAGTATTATTCGAATTTTTGTTGAAATCACGGGTGGGAATTTATATATTTTCTATATTTTTTTAAATAGAAAATAATTTTGTCGATGTAAATGACCAAAAAGAAAAAAAAATAATATAAAAGGAAATAAGAAACCCTTCGGGTATGTTTAAGATTTTGACGCGTGTCCCCCTTTTTTTCTTTTTTTTTTTTTTTTTCTATTAAAGTTTATATCCGCGAAAACGGTGAGGAGAGAAGGGCACCCGAATAAAGTGGGACGTCATTTAGGTATGGGACGTGAACGCGTACGACGAGATTCCAGGTTTCTGGGACAAACGCCGCAGGAGGGCGATGACGGAGAGAGCTTTGTACGAGAGAAAGTAGATTCGATGATGAGAATCATCCATTAGACTCTCTTCCTTCCTTACCCCTTCTTCTTCTTCTTCTTCCTTTCTTTCTTTCTTCCTTCCTTCCTTTCTATCCCTGAACTTCTATAACGAATTTACATTTATTTTATTACACAAATTATAGATAAATTATTCTGTATTTGCCCCCCCCCCTCACCCTCTGAAAGAATGAAAATGAAAAAAAAAATCAAAAACTTTTTTTTCCTTTTATTCCAGCACGCACAAAATTGAAGAGAATGTTGCTGCCATTAATGCTGGCGTTAGAATTGAAAGCAATAATCGTTTTACCAATAATTATCACCTTGATTGGTTTTGTTGGCTACAAGGGGCTTCAAGCTGGTTTGGTAGCACTTCTTATTTCCGGTGCGGTGGCATTGAAAGGTCTTCTAACACCACCACCACCTCCCAGAGTTAGCTATGGTGTCGTAAAACCCTATGACGTACACGAACAATGGCACAGATCGCAAGAAGAAATGAATCAGCCCTACAGAGGATGGGCGCCGGAATACAATGGCGAACAATACCCTTATCAAGACATACCTTAAAGGATTTAACATTCCAAAGATCAGTTTGTTGATTCGACTCATCGGTGTTTCATTCATTTATTTATTTATGTCGCTATTAATATTATCACACTCTCGACTGTTTATTATTTATATAAAAAAAAAAACAAAACAAAAAAGAAACGAATGAGCTTCATTATCCCAACAATTTCTCTCTTCATTTTCTCATTCACATTTCTCTTTTCGATATCTCTCCCTTTTTCTACTTTTCATTATTAAATATATTATAAGTTATTCGTAAATATGTGTGTTCGTTTATATAAGGGTTGCCGAATAAGCCGAAGAAAATCAGCAATAAAAGATCGACGAATAAGAACGCAATATGAAATTGTCGATAAAAAAGGTAAAAAAAAGAAACGAATAAAGAAGTAGGGAAATAACAAAAAAAAACAGAAAAAAATATGGCGTAAGAAAAAAGAAGAGAAAGAATGAAAGATAGAAAGAGGAAGAGGAAGAATGAGAAGAGGCAAAAGCGTAAGAAGGTTATCCAGTCAGTCAGACGAGAAGGCTAATAACCTAGATGGAAGGTCGTGGTGGATAAGGGGCAGGGTTGTGGGAGGGGTAGGGGGAGGAAGAGAAATACGAGAGAGTAGAGTAACGTCCAGTAAATGGAGAGGGAAATAGTAGGAAAGAACGTTGAGAGAAGGAATATCGGGGTCATTGTGTCGAGTCAAGTGGGAAAACCGGCCGTGACTCTGATTGGCGAGACGCCTTTCCCCCACCACTTTAGATACCAAGTATCAAGGTTAGTGGGCCATTGCCTGCTGTCCACGTGGATTTCTTCCCCCACTCTTCCGCGTTCCACACGACGCGATCCTTCTCTAATTCGAAGTGGAAGGGGAAACGTTGGAGTAAAGAGTGGGGGGGCGGTTAACGGTACTGGTTGTGATTAAGTCGGTTTCCTCAAGAACAAAATGGTGGGGTTACCGGACTCACTTGGGTATATACGTGTTCATCCAAGACACATTGCTCATCAGACGCACGCTGTTCAACGATGATCGTACACAAGTTCTTGAAGGAAAAAGATTTCCTATTTGATTATTATTATTATTCTTTGCACACCCTTAGGATTTTTATATACACTTACACACATTTAGATTATTATTCATTCTTTTATAATAGAAATCGATCTAAATTAAACATGTTATTTGTATTTTTGAGAAGTTCTGTTGGTTTTTTTTCTCTTTCTTTTTTTAGATCAAAAAAAGCTGATACATTTTATCAGCTTTTTAGATTTTGTTTCGTTTATATATTATATAAAATAGAAATAAGATTTTAGGATTAGACCAATTCGATTTTCTTTCGATTCAAATTACGTTCATAATTTTCATTTTTAGAATATATGAGAAAAAATAGATCGTGGTTTACTTTCTTACATATGTCCGTTTAGTTTTATTGTTATCGAACGATTAATTAAAAATAAGAAAACAAGTTGGTCAGAAATACGCAGTCGTAATTCGATCGTCTAGACGTTGTCCGATTTGCAAATTGAATCGGGTCGATCTAGAAATAAATAATTCGCGGATTTGATTATTCATACTACTGCGAAATGGAAGAAATGCGAAAGTACGTGAATATGAAATGGTATTTTGAGTATGTAACGGATACTCGTTCCCCTATTTAAATACGTTTAAAAACGCGTGCTCATTCTTATGTTGGCGATGCCGTCAGAAATGATTACGTCGTTTTTTCTTTTCTCGTGAATTGGTCATTCACGCCTCGTTGAAACGTTTTCTTTCTTAAACACATCCTATCTCTGTAGGCGGTTTTAATTAATTAACATATTTTAAAACAGGATTTGTATTATAACGACGAAACACGACTATGTAGCCTTTATATCCGTTTATAAATCAGAACGGTGTATCAAATGTTGTTAAAAAAAAAAAATTCGTTATACGATAGCTATACGTGTCTAAACGTTAAATAAAATAATTGTTTTAGAAAAAAAACTTATATGACAAATATTTGATTATTTGAAATTACGAACAAATAGATATGTGTTTGAGTTTATTTACGTTCTTTTATTACATTTTATGTGAATTTATTTTGAAAACTATACGGAGATATTATATATGTGCAAAAACGTTCGATTGGGATACAGAAACAAAGATTATGCTCATATATTTAGATTGAAACGCAATCTTTGATATTCGAATAACGGTTTAATTCGATGAAAGCTGTTATAAGATACTACTTTGATAGAAAATCGATGGATCGAACTAATATAACATAAATAAATAATTATGTAAATATGATTAACTTTCTTTTCGGATAGTTATATATATATTGGGGCCCCAGATACGAAACTTTTTGTTGATCGATCATGCGGGAAAAATAAAAAGAGATTTATCGTGGGCAAAAGCGGCTAACTTTCATTAACGTTTTACCGTGTCCAATTTGAATGGAAAATAGGATAACCACATGCTCGATCGGTTGAGATTAGAGAACAACTCTTATTATACTTTCGATGATAATCATTATTCAGAGCGTCGCGAATATTTAATACTTATTTATGTCCTTTTAGTTTTTTTTTTGTGATTAACGTTAGGAAAAATAAAATACGGGAAATATCTTGAGAAAAATATTTCTATCTGCGTCTCTGTGAACATGCATGTACGGCCCAATTACAATGCACGCATATCACTGCGTATAATCGCAGTGATTTGTAAGAGAAAAAACGACTAATCTCACGTAGGTCTGATTCATGTTCTTAATTATGCCAACGTGAAGGTTATCACGTCAAGAAGATCATAGAGGATTCTTTATTTTTCCATTGAAATGATTTAATTTGTAAAACTGATATAATATAATTGTTACAAATATTACGTTTATTTTTCTTTTTTTCATATTTTAATGTTAACGAAGTTTGTTATTAAATTCGAATAAAAGTGATACAAATAATCGAATTATTAACAGAATGACGATTAATTTTGAGCACGGTAAGAAATTTCTTTGATTCGAATTACGACGAAAATAAATTGTCTTGAAATATTTGTACCGATTGTGTGTGTGTGTGTGTGTGTATGGGAAAAACGATTTACAGATCGAATAATACAATCGATTTTCCGAAGGATACAATAATGAAAAAAAAAAATAAAAAAAAGTAAATAACCATTTGATGAATTATTAGGCCATTAAATTAGATCTAACATGATGGAATTCTGTTAATAACCTAAATGATAGAGGCGAATAGTTAAGAGTCACCGAAGCAGCGACTAGAAAGAAGAACGAACCGCTCTCCATCCGTTCGAGATCCGACAATCATTAGCGTGAAGGTGGGCTACTGAGAGACAAAAGGAAAGGGACTTTTCAACGAAAAATGTATAATATATATTATAATATATTCATGCATGAAATAAAATACTTTGAACGATTATTTAGAATCTAGGTATACTTAAACACCTTATGTTATGTTATCCGGCATGATGAGAATCTACGATGCGTACAATTGAACTGAACTGAACAGCCCAAGTACGATACGCGTTAGAGTGTATGAATGAGAATACGTGTGGTATAGCAAACTCGATAGGAAAAAGGATAAAGGAGCCACCCATAATCCTCGTGAAAATCAACTACCATACTTTCTCGTAGACCGATATATCCGTTTGAACTGGCTGCTGTTGCTGCTGCTCGAGTATGGGGAGCACGAAAATCTAGAGATCGGGCACAACCCATTTTAAAGTAGATTTCATTTTTCTTTAAGCTCGATTTAACGCGTCTATTTTGTTCTTCTTTCTTTTTTCCGTTTTTTTTTCTTTTTTCATTAACCGACAAATCGTTAAAATATTTTATTCAATCGATTCATTTCTTTTTTTGCAATTTCTCCCCCCTTTTTTTTCTTGATCGATTTGCAATAGTTCGTCCTTTTGATCTCGTTTCGTCGAGATTGAAAGTAATATAAGTCATTTGAGTTTTATCGTTAAAAAAATCGAACTAAATTAAAATCACTAATTAAAATTTAAAACAAAAATATATGTATATAAACATAATTAATTGTATTAATCTAATGGAAAGTTGTTAAAAAAAACATGACACGTGAAACACGCATTTCAGAAAATCCGTTCTTTACCGAGTTCGGCGGGGGCTGGGGTAGGGAGGGGGGAAATTGGAAATATGAAAGACTGTTGCCTCCTCTTCTGATTCCGTTGAGAAAACGTTCAATCCGTTGATAATCCGTTGTTGGCATCTACGAGAAAGTTTTCTAAGATTTTATAAACATCATGCAGCGGAGAGAAAATCATCCATGCGAAGGAAATAAAACAGGATCTGTTAGATGATTGGAATATGTTTCTCGATTGAAAGTTAACAACTGAAATGAATTTTGTGTTTGTTTCGATTTATATTAAAATATGGTGAGGAATGGGGTGGAGTGGGGAGGAGGAGGGGTTTCTATCATGCGCTTTCGCATTTCATCCAGTGTCCCGAAATTGGTTAATTAAATTGAACGAATTAGAAAATAAAGAAGAAAATTAAATTCAACGGGATTCTTATGATAGCGTATGTCGACGATAGGAGGGAGGGGCGGGACGGGGTTCAGATAAAAGCAAATGATCGAAATAAATCGATATTGGGGGGGGGATATCGAAAGAATATTTTCCATTGGATCCGACCTAAAACAAAACTAAAGGAAACTAAAGATCGATCTTTGCTCTCATCGAAACGTTCACTATGGGTTTAGTCATAGTTTTGCGATCTCCGTGGTTTTGTTTTTTTTCTTTTTTTCTTTTTTTCCTTTTGCTGCCCGTAAATTCGACTGAGAGATTCGAATTCTCCGCTCTATTTGACGCTTCCTCTCACCGGGCGATAGCCGACAGTAGCCACACTAGGAAATAGATGAAAGAAAGAGAGGAAAAATGCGTTCCTCCTCTTCCTCCTCCACCTCCTCCACCTCTTTTGATGTCCATGAAGTTAAAGTAAAAGAAGAAGAGAGTTAGAGCGTTGGTTAATGCTACTCTTGAGTTAAGAGAATGTATGGAAACGGCCGAAAGGCAAAAAGGAAAAAGGACTACACGGTGGTAAGTCGCTCTATATAAACTGCAACTATCCGATGCAATAACCAGTGCAGTATACGCGCCTCGTCTGTCAGCTTCGAGAGGTCCTTTTCTTCATTTAACATTCAAGATCAATACATTAGATCGAGGAAGAAGAGACAGGGCAAATTTGGTTGTTCTTGTTGTTGCCGTTTGTAGACAAAAATTTAATCGATCTTTCTTTGAAATTTCTAACAGAAAGAAAAAAAAAAAAAAAAGAAAAGAAAAGAAAAGAAATAGATAAATATACAGTGTAATCAATAGTAGTATATCAAATAATTTCAATATGAAGGGATTTGCCAAGATAGCTTACGAAAGTTCGATCAGTTATCATCGGATCTTGGTGATACTTTTATTGTTAGGATGCGTTAAAGCGGAAATCGAAAGACGTAGTTCGAGACAAATGGTTGAGGAATCTCCCGAAACTTTGTCGTCGAGCTTGAACAAGGATTGTGGAAAATCATACAGTACCACGTGTCTAAAATTGGACGTGGTATCATTTTTGGATAGATTATCGGAATATGAAGAATTAGGATTACTTCCTGGTTTGTCGGTGGTCAAGGAAAATGTATCGGCTGATTTACCGGCAACCGAAATCGTAGCCACCCTTGCAAGAGATTTTCCTAACGACGTTGAAAAGAGATTGGACGCATATCTCGTACACAAAGTTGGTAGTTATTTGAATTCTCATTCGATATCGATCAAATTGTTCGATCCTAAGACGTTCGAGGCTGCAAGAAGTTTCAACGAGGACGCATTGGCCCAATTGGGTTTGAACGGAAATCAAAATGCCGAAACAGGTTTATATATATATATATATCGTCTATTTAATTAATTTAGATAAATGATTAATCGTTTTTAGGAATCTAATTGGTTCGTTAATTACTTGTTTTTTTTAGGACGTAAAAAGGGGAAAGGAGGAAACGGTGGTTTGATGGCAGGTCTGATGATGATGAAAGGTACTCTCGGGGCTGTTGGTTTTGGCGCGTTGGCACTTCTCGCCGGTAAAGCTCTGATGACTGGTTTGATGGCACTCATGTTATCTGCGATCGTTGGATTGAAATCACTCGCAAGCGGTGGCGAAAAGAAGACCACTTATGAGATTGTTAGCAAGCCGGTTTACTCGAGCTCACATACTCATAGTTCCGAGGAACATCACGGACACGGTTACGGACATTCGGGATACGGAAGATCTCTCGATTTGGTACAAGATACTATTCAGGAAGCTGTACGAAAATACGGGAATGCGCGTGATCGTCGAGCTATCAGACCAAATTAATTTCATTTTATTTTCATTACCGAGTACCTGGACTCGCCATTGCACGAGATCATTCAACAAACCTTTTTTTTTCTTTCTTTCTTTCTTCTATCATTTTCTATTCTCTTCTTTTCTTTTATTTATTCTTTTCTTATTCACGTTAAAACTAAACCGTTTTTCTTTATCACAGTTAGTCATACCTCGTCGATATCCTTTGCATCATTTTCTCTTCTTTTTTTTTCTTCTTCTTCTTCTTTTTTATTCCTTTCTCCGACCTCGCTTTCTAACCATTCGCTCATAAATTTTCAACTAATCACTTCTCGTCATCGGCACGTATCATTTTTCTTTACCCTAAGTCGCATCACTGTTATCGTATAGTACGAATTTATTTTTTTTTTTTTTTCTTTTAAATTATTTAGATATTTATTGAGAACAATGCTCCTCAATCGGAGCGGCAATGCGTATATGTGACTGTTATTTAATTATTATAAATACATCTAAAATTTTGTTATAAATATATATATATATATATTTATTTATTTCATTGATAATTTCTTAATAAAATCTATTTGTGATAACGTCCAAAATGTGGTTTTTATTATTATTATTATTATTATTATTATATTACCTGTTTATTCCATTTAAAAATTTCCAACGAGTCATTCGAAATTTGTTGATCCGTGCTTTCATTCATGCCGCATTATTTGCAATCATTTTCAACAACCTCATTGGCATTGATGTGAATGAAAGTATCGAATGTAAGATGTGTATCTAATAACTTTTGCGGTTGTGACCTACTATACTTAATATTTAAATTAATTATAATATTATAAGTGATATATATAAAAAAAAAACAAAAAAACAAAAAGGAAGTAAACGAAGTTTTATATCCTGGATCGGGATGTTCCGTGTAGTTTTATTTTTATAAATAATATCTCGAATGCGAACAACATTTTATTTCCTTCGACACCGACGTAAAGCAATTTGATATGCAAGCGTGAACGCGTGGTCAACATCTCCTAGGTGTTTTCTCTTCCCATAAAAGAATATTATACGTATCTTATTAACGTAATAATAAAAAAACAAAATTTATATAATATATAATATATAATAATTATTTAATATAAAATTGCAAAAGAGAAAGAATAATTTTGTATCGTATAAATAAATTATTTTTCATTAATCCCAAATATTTATAATACTTTTGTTTATTCGTAGCGTTTGTTGGATTAGATTGAAAATATTTGATTGAAAAAAAATTTGAAAAATTACTCTACACTTTAGAATAAAATTTAACACGTTAATCGGAAATCTTTCTAATTGAAATGTATAAAATTAAAAATTAACAAAAAAAAGACAAAGATATATGGAAAAACATTGGTAAATAACAATTAGCGTTGATAAAACGAGGTCAGATTTTTGTTAGAAATATTCAAACGCGTATCGGATAAACCAAGCGAATGATCTCTTCAAGGATCCGTTGATCTTAAGGTCAGGAAACTTATCATTACGCTATTGTCGCGAATAAGGTAAATGACAATCGTGACAGACTGTTGAAAAAATATCAACGGGTGACATAAATATCGTTGTATATAAGAGATCAACGTTTTCGAAATATTCAAAAGCAGAGTCAGTCGAGGTACGACTGAAGTGTCAGTAGTGAGTGACGACTTCTTCATCGTCACGGTAATCGTCATCGTCACGTTAACAAAGTGTTCATTATCGGATCGATGTTGACATCGAGAAATTGGAATAAAAACGAACGAATGTTCGTTCTATGTATTATCATCGCAAACGTGATTCGCGTTAACGGGTTGAACGATGAGAAAATTATTCCCATTAAAAATAACGATATCGAATCTTACAACGATGTTCGTCCGATCGAAAGATCGATTTTTAATTATCGAAGAGCGGGTTTACGATTGGACATTAAAATAATAACGAATCCTTTGACGAATTCTACGGATAAATTAAAACACAAAGTTGACAATTTTCCGGATTTTCCGAGTAAGGATTTAGGTCAATGCGTTCTCGATCTTTCATTGAGTTGCATCAAGAAACGTTTTGCCAAATTATTCGATAGTATAGGTGATTTGAATGAGATCACGTTGATTGGACAGAATGTTAAATTGGTTAAAATTAGAAAACCACGGGACGATCGTAGATCGATCAACAACGGTGACGTTGAAAACGACGAAATTCGACGTAGCATTGATGATTTTTTCGACACTTTCGTGTTACGCATTACTTTGCCAAGGTGGAACGGAAAACGTGAGAGGAGTCAGATCGATTTGATGTTCGATGAAACATCAGGCGGACCAATTATCGAAGGTTCTTCTAGAAATAATTCGTTTAATAATTCGTCTGATTTATTAACACCAGATTTACGGATGTTTCGTTCATTATTTTTTAATGATTTACGAACATTGTTTGAATGAAGAAGTGGGTAGAGAGGAAGAATTAATATTTGCGTATTATACATTTAATTACGGCATTTATAAAATCAAGATATATTTAAAAAAAAAAATAATATCTAAGTTAAATTTTAAATGAGTCAAATTGGTATATTGTCAGTCCGTACAAATCTAGTGTTAAAGATTATTTTGTATTTTTTGGTCGAGATGAAAGTTAATATTTTTGAAATCATTTCAGGAAGAGGAATAAAAGGTGGTGGAGGAGGAGGAGGAGGTGGAAAAGGTGGAGGAGGAGGTCTCAAGGGTGGTGGTGGTGGAGGAAGATGCAAGATGATGATGATGGCTATGCTTATGCTTGCTAAAATGAAGATTATAGGTAATGTCAAATCGAGTATTTCTATTTTTAAATAGAAATAAGCATCTGTAAGGAAGATGGGGATAAATTGTTACTTAATAAATGATTATTTAAATGTTTTATACAGGTGTGATAGGAATGATGGCGATGAAAGGAATGATAATGGGAGCAATGTCATTGATGATTTCAACCGTGATGTTAATGATGAAATTTTTGAAAGGTGGAGGTGGAGGTGGTCCATGGAAAAGTGGTGGCGATGACGGAGGAAAAGGAGGAGGAGGTGGTGGTGGCGGTGGTGGAAGTAATAAATGATTTCAAATTAAATTAATATTCAAAAGTTTTACACAAATGAAACGCATAATTTTGATTGAATAAAAATCATTTTTACAGGTGTCAAGGAAATAATTCTACTGACAAAAATACCAAGCGGAGGTAATGGTGGCGGTGGAGGTTATGGTGGAAATGGTGGTGGTGGAGGAGGATATGGTGGAAATGGTGGTGGTGGAGGATACGGTGGAAATGGTGGCGGTGGAGGTTATGGTGGAAATGGTGGAAATGGTGGTGGTGGAGGTTATGGTGGAAATGGTGGTGGTGGAGGTTATGGTGGAGGAAACGGGGGAGGCTACGGAGGAGGAGGAGGTGGTGGTTGTGGTGGTAATGGCGGAGGAGGAGGATGTGGTTATGGGGGAGGAGGTGATAGTTATAGTCTACCAGCACCCGTCTATGGTGTACCAAGTGGTGGTGGTGGTGGTTACGGAGGTGGTTGGGGTCGCAGTTTTAGTTCTTCTATCATATTACCGCAACTTCAAGCGAGTCATAATAATATGAAATCAAAAAAACATTCTTCTAAGCCTTCACTGATGATTGGTGAATCAATCGACCATAAAGAGAGTTTGGATTACGAAGATTTTCAAGATTCGAATGATAATCTTACCACGATTCGACCTTATTTAAATCCATATAATTACACGACATTACCAAATTTTTTAAATATTAATAGATCTGTAAATGTTAATAATAATAATAATAATAATAATATATCATTGAATTCTACTTCGATTGATAGAAAAGTCGAACAAGCTGATTCATCTTACGGTCTCAATGTATTACGACCTGTTTATACTAACCAGTGGCAATCTTTCGAAAATACGAAAACGATTAATACGTCGAATAAGAAATTAAACGATGATCAATCCGAAGGAACAAACATAAATTTATTAAACACAGGATATGGTCCAACTTAATACAGGATTTGTTATTTTAATGAATACAGAATTATAATACTAAAGAATAAAATTAATTATGAAATATACACTTATATGTGCATCTTTAATTGTTAGTTTAGAATAACGCGATAGATTATTTTAATTATTATGATAAGGTTGTGAAAATAGTATATAGCGTCAAGTAAAAGCGCTCTCTGTTGCACGATGCTTGAACTTTCTAGGCACCATTTTTGTTTAATTCATTGCTGGTTAGGTTGCAATCTACAAAAAATGATGATAAATGTATACGTTTAAAATATTCTTGTAATTATTTTCTATGAATGTTATTTTTAATAAAAAATCCATATATCAAATATTTCATTATATTTGTTCATTTATATTTGTCACATTAAATAGAATAATTGAAATCCTTTCACCAAGAACCTTGGCATTGTGCCATAACCTTCATAAAATCCATGACGAATACCGATTGGGAGATTTCAATGCTTGCAATGTACTACTGTTACTACTTAGTCGATCAAATAATCAAGGAAAGAATTTAAGTCAATTCTAATATGGCATGATTATAATATTATATTTAATTGTAGCGAAAAAAAAATTCTAATTAAATAAAATTTACTAAAAAACCAAAATTATGTTTGTGATATGTCATAGTGAAAAGAAAAAAGTGTGTATTTTTTTATTATATTTATTTCTTTATTATATAACAATAACGAATTGGAATGAAAAAACAGGAAAAAAAGAATTCTTTTAATTTATTCCTCTTTCAAATATATTTATGAAAATATTTATTTAAATTAGATACTGACGATCGAAAAAAAAATGATTAATATAAATCGTATTCCATTGAGTTTTTTTTTTTTTTTTACTAACGATAAATAGACGACCTACATGCATACTCGCGTGGCAGATGTTAGGTTTTTAAAATTCAAAACACGTTGAGTTTTCGGTGTCCACAACGCGATTGAATTTGAAAAGAGTAACGGGCATACCAATTTATCGAACGAGCAAAGCGTAAAAGATCTAGGTACGAGAGAGTCTACTTATCGGTGTGCGTGTATGGCCACGCATATTACTTTTTCGTCTATGTTCTCCTTCTCCATTGCAAGTTTATAGTGTTCGGATCACCGTTAGACAACCCAACGATTAGATCGCGATCGAGAAAGGATCGAAAGAGGTATCATGATCGGTTACCGATGTGGGATTGGTCAACATTGGAAAATCGGTGAAAGTTTTTCCTGTCTTGTAACAAAAAGGTAAAACACTGATCTATGTTCCAGAAATAAGTAGAGTTCGCGTTTTAGAATAGGTGTTTCACTTTCCTCCTTTACATTGGAATGCATTTAAGAAGGGAAAATGTTTATTGCATTTAACCGGATAAATCCTTAATTATGCGACTTACTTAATCTAATTGAAATAATAAATTATTACTTCGATTGATATTAATTATTAAAGAGACATTTTTCATTTTATATTGGAATAATCAATTTTTATACTGCGTGAGAATATTCATTTCTGTTTACATTTAGAATACGAATTATATGGTTAACGTTATTTTTTTTTCTTTTTTTTTTTGACAGCCACGTTGGAATTATAGGCGATTGATCATTGAACAACAACAAATAAAATAAAATTAACATATAATATTTACGGTAAGATTATAACCGGTTTATCGGTGAAGATGGATTTCACCACACTTTTGATAAAAAAAAAAATAAAAAAAAGGAAAAGAAGAAGAATAATTTATACGTATGTGTATACACACACACACGCACGTTTTTTCTTTCCTCATAATAAAAAATGTTCCTCAGTATTAGAAAAAAAAAAAAAAGAAAAACGTTACACGTCCCAATTCTTCATTTTATGATTGATTAATTTATTCCGAAATAAAACATTGTTCCTTTCACCATATCATTAATACCAATTACGTTCCAGTTACTTGGTCCATTTTAAAGCACGGTCAACGTGTTTCTCATGTTAAATGTCATATTTGAAATAACATTTATAAAAATGATCAAATTTACTTTCGAACGTACACTATAACATGTCACGATTGTTACTTACTTACTTTCGATTAACAACCTCGGTTGCATTATCGGGGTTGAGGGAACATTGAACCGTGTAATTACATGATTATAAATCAATTTTATTGAACAAAAAAAGAAAAAGAAAAAAATGTTATTATTTATACTTCCAGTTGTTAATAACGAGGTTAAAGGACAACAAGAAACAAAAGATAATAATTTAACGACATTTAAAATAAAGTATACCACTTTACACACTTAAATATTCATTTATGAGAAACAAACTGAAGAAAAAAGTATTTAGTTGTTATTTCAAAAAAGCCATCTCACCTTTTGCTAAGTTTTCTCGCAAATATGGTATTCAGGCTACGTTTGAACGTAATGTACTTCTTACTCTTCCATGGGTAACGAGAATAAAAAAAATATCTTTAGGAAGATAAATAAGAATAAGGTTAGGTTTCTTCTATGGAATAGACGTTTTTCTTTTTTTTTTTTTTTTTCTTTTTTTTCGGCAAACAAATTTCCCAAAGAATATACTTCTATGGAAAGTCTAAGTGATCATATATATATATATATGTATATATTTATTTTTGGTTAATATTCCAACGTTTAACCAAAACGAATGAGGAAGTAAACACGGGGCCGAGGTTACCTACATACCTAACAACTTAACTGATAAGTAGGTCAATGGAATTCATCCGGACAGAATGAACACTCGACCGGTTGGTTGGTTGGTTGGTTGGTTAGTTGGTTGGCCCACCATCGCATCTTCGATCACACGTTAAAAATTCTATTCAAAAATTTGTTCTTGGAAAATTCCTTTAAGCTCGACCAATATAGCAATAATGACCATATATTCATACTTAATTTTTTACAATTGTTAGTAACTATGTGTTTACTTTCGTATGAGATCGTTAAAATATGATGTCAACGATGTTAGAGAAAGTTCACGTTTTGAATAATAATTATTCAAGAAACAAATAATGACAACGAGAAAAAAAATATCGATCAACTGTTATCGTTGATTAAAGTTGAATGAAAAAAAAAAAAAAAAAAAAATTATCATTTTAATCGTGAAAATAAAATTGATCGTTGCATAACAGTTTTATAATTAAAATTGAAAGTGGTATATCTGATAAGCGCGACGATTTTAATAGTAAATTCACTTTATAAACGTATACCTGTTTTAGTAACTTGATCTGATTTGATTAAAATTCAACTACGCTAGGTTGTGTGAGAACGTAACAAATTTAAACGTCTAGCGTACCGTAGTCATTCATCCGATGAATGAGAACACCTTCACCGCGATTATATTAGTGAAAAGCTTCCGACCTCCGGAAGCCATCAATTTACGTTAGGAGAGATGTGAGCGTGTATGTTGTATTCCTCTCTATTCGCGTGATATAACTGTAAATTTAATGTAAACAAATTTAATCGTGTAAACTGTGACAACGTTTTAAAGAATAATTTATATCAATCATTTATGATGATTATATTTCAAAATTTTGGTTCATTATAAAAATGTGTCAACGATACTCATTAAAAATTTCGTGAAATAGAAAATAAAAAATTCCTCTCCCCCTCTCCCCCCATCATAAAAAAAAGAAACGAATAGAAGAGAAATCTCATTGAATAGAAAATGTTTTTCATTTTTTTATATCTATATAATAAAAAAATAAAATTAATTTCTATTTATAAAGAATTTGATTATATTATATTATATTTTAAATATTATCGTTGAGAGAATTAAAGCTTTTCAATTCATCTAATTATTTTATTATAAAAATGATACGATGATTCTTTAAAAACAAATGAGCATTTAATGAAAAGTATAGAAGATGACAAGCGTACTACAGTTCGTTGGAAGATGGTAACCGGTCTATGCCCTTATAAGTGTTTAAAACTGTATCATACAACGGTCTGATGCAACACGCGGGTCCAGTAAGCGTGGAAGAAAGCCTTGGAAAAGATCGTTTGTAATTAATACACACGTTATACGAAACAATAAAACATATACGATGAACCGATAAGGAAATTAATAAAATTCACGATAAGAAGTTATAGATTAAAAGGAGAATAAAAAGATTCGTTAGAAAAATCATTTACAAAAATACAAAACAGTAATACGGAATCATTGAAAAATTGGTAATATAAATAATATAAAAAAAAAAAAAGAAAATAAATATAAATTAATTAA